ACCTCAAGGTCTCATTAGAACAAATTAGAATGTAAAACAGAGAGGGAAAAATGTGAAGCAAGCTACTTTTTAATGTAACAATAACTACTACTGCTGCTACAACTTACTAAGCCTCTATTATGTGCCAAGCACTATACTAAGCGCTGTCACAGATTTTAACAATCCCTGCAACAATCCTTTGTTGATAAAGCAAAAGTAATAGTAAAATTTAAATTTCTCTAATGAAAAATACAATTAACAAAAGCTCACCTTTTTATCTACCCTTCAGATTACAGAATATTATCAGTATTAAATTTATACTAAAAGAATATTTTCAGTGATGTGTCTTCCAGTTGAGAGATACTGATATTCAAGATGTTAAGAAGTATTATGGAAGAATCACAAAACCATGAACTGGCACAAAAAGCCTCCCATCCAACTTTAACTAATGAATGAGTGGCCCCATTTAAAAAAGGAGGGGACAGTGCACTAAGAAACTTCTGACACTCACTGGAAACCAATGATGCTATATTTATAAAGAGACCCACTACACCATGCACAACACATGTGTTATTTTACATGTAAGTCTTACAGTAACTGATTAAAAAAAAAAAAAACACACAAGAAACTAAGGTAGCCTAAAAACACAAAATCGTTTCTGAAGACTGACTTTAGCATTTCAGCAGCTTCATAATCATGATGTAATTAACCAAACTTTACTTAACAGAAAGTTGGGAGAGGCTTGGGAGGCTGTGTATAAAATGGAGTAGACAAGAGGGAAGGGTTCCCCGTGCTGTTTAAATCAACTACAGGTCCCAGCATGCAATGCTCTAATCTGAAGTTGAGCAAAAATCCCGCGATGCATCCTGGGACTTGTAGTAAGTAAACCACTTCACTCTGGAACAGCAAGTTTCAAGAAAGTCTGACTAGAGAGCACAGTTTGACTAGCTCTTATCAGCGTCTCCTCAAATTCAGATCTGCTTGTTCTGAGCTCTCACATACAGTTTCTCTAGCACAGATTAGAAAAATGCTATCAGTTAGTATTTACAGCAACATTTTCACATCAGGAAAAAGCTATCCAGGATGAACTACATTGAATAACGTTTTCAAAGCAAAAAGATCTGATTGGATGAAGAAACACAGTTTTTGAAACTTTTTTTCCAGTTTGGCTGGATTGGTTTCAACCTCTCTATCCTTTCCTCACAAAACGTTTTGTTTCACCAGGTTTCCTTGTAACAGTTATTCAAGATGTATTTTTTCTTGAAGCAAATTCTCACAAGCAAATATTTCCCATACTCTAGTACTGTCTCCTAGGAAATATATTCTTATAGTAACACATACACACACCATCACAAGAAACAAAAGCCAAAAATACTCAAGTTCCTCTCTGTCAAGCCCTTACTCCATATTTATGCTCTCCACTCCCTACTCTTAATTCCCTCCTTACACACCCACAACCACACACACTCACAAATTTCAGGGGAAAAAAAGACACTCGGAAAAAAAATTTCAGTTGCAGGCCCATTTTTCTCATCCACTGGCCTCTCCCAAAGATACAAAAGATTTTTTAAGCTATCAGTACCATGTCCAAACCCAAGCTGGTAAGTCTGAACCGTAATTCCCATACATGCAGTTCCTTCACACACACACACACACACACACACACACACCCCTACTTTCTGCAAGACTCTGGGAGGAGGCTGGGAAAGAACGGAGAGCAATCTGCATCAGGCCTCACGCAGGTGGTGGGTTATTTTCAGGCAACTGCACCTTCACAAACATGCTGTGGAATACAGGCCAAGAAATTCCTAACAAGGAAAGATAAGCTGGCACACAAATTTAACAGAATCCAGCTCAAAATCACCTGCAACACATGCTACTACATTTCACCATAAAAGTGACAAGCTACTAGAGGTCCTGAAGCTCCATCAATACAACACACTGTCCATAAGGCCTGAGATAGCAGTTGCCATGGTTACTATCACCCACTTTTATCAGGAAATTATTGTCATTACCCCCAAAGTTTTGGGTACTTCTTTAACATTAAAACAAAAAAAGAAACAAAAAGCAGTTTAGGGTGCTTACTTGTTAATTGAATGAAAGCACCAACTACTGCTTGATTTGAAAGTATGCCGCTTTAGAGATGCACATGGTTAACAATACTTGGATCTGCAGCAGAAAAAAAATCAATTCCTTTCTGCTGCTCCTTCTCCTCAAGTACTGACAGTTTGTATTCTCAATGCAGCCAAAACAATAAAACAAAACCCATCTTTTTGGCTTCTGTGTTTAAGTTATGTTTTTCCCCTAGGCCCAAAAACCCAGTCAAAATAAAGCCTAGATCATCAACCCATTAGGTCCCATCCCCTTTCTGTCTTCATATCACTGGTTCACTTTCTTGTCTACTTTAAAAAAGCAGAAAACATTTCTGTAGCTGATTCCAAAATACAGCAAAGAATAGTTTCCTTCAACAGAGACCTGTTCACTAATTCTTCCTTTATTTCAAAAAACACTAATTAAATTATGGGGCTGGGAGGACCTACAGAGTATTGGAAGGAGGGGTATTCAAACCATCACACAAGAATCTGGTATAAGAAAGTTGTTCTAGAAAAACTCATAGGATAACTAAGTTCACAAACAGTGTCTACATGGGAAAAGTTCACCAACCATCAGTTGAAGACTGAAGTGACAGACAAGTCACAGAAAAGTTCATTCTCAAAGGTCTACTTCAACATTCTCACAAAAGGTAAGTACTCAAATATTTAATACACAAAGAAGAACTATATGCCAGCCCACGAGAGTATACGGACACACATACACATAATCATATAAACAAGAAAATGTATGCTACGAAATAATTATCTACAATAAATTCAATACAATGCTAACAGATTACCTCTTCAAAAAAAAATCTCAAGGCAGCAAAAAATATGCAGCTGATAAAGTTAATGTGATCAAAACGCACTGCTATGCTCCCAAAGAATACTCGGGCCTACAAAATGCCCACGTACAAAAGTTCTTGAGGGTTCAACATAAATCATGAATACTTCCCAGCACAAAATCATAAGAAAATCCAAACATGTTTCAAGAAATCAGTTCTGAATTTGGATATAAAGGAATTCTGTCAAAGGTTGGAGACCAGAAACTTTAATCCGGTCCATTCTCCTTTTGAATAGCAATTAAATACAAAAGCCTTCAAGAATAAAACAGTAAGGATGCAAAACTCAGAAGCACATTAATATAATCTTAACTTCAGGATTTCTTCACAAAAAGCTTTAATGTTCACTGACTGTGGGATAAAAAGTTAGCATCACTCGGAGAGGTTTCATTTTTCTCTAAATAGTTAAAATGTTTTCCTCACCCTACACAGAAGTCAACTTTCTATACTTACTGTCTACTTAGGGCTATTTCATAAAAAAAAAAAAAAATCGCACCCACAATTTAAAATACACCTTCTGAGATGCTCATAGACACAAGGATTCCCAATTATCTGGTTTTTTTTTTTAATATTCTACTCCAAATTTGTAAGTAGAGCCTATCCAGAAAGCCACAACTCAAGGCTTTAAACTTTTGAGTTATTTTTACATAAAAAGATTTACACAAAAACACTCCTCTAGATTTGAGTAGTCATTTCCTTGTGAACCTTTCTAAAATAGAAAAAAAAAAAAAACAATATGCATATGCACCTAATGCTAACGCATACAGATATAGTCTTTTTCATCAGGAAACAAGTTTGACAGAAGCTTTAGTCAGTAAGAATATCTCAGAAAGTTAGCAGAGTCAACCAAAACTTTAACCGTGACATCTGGTACTCTGTGTGTTAATAAGAGTCTATAAAGAGTACCGGAACTGAAATATTCACTAAAGTCAACCACTATCACATCTATGGAGAAAGAGAGAAAAACTTTAACAGGGCACAAGACATGAATTTCACAGGATCTTCAAATGAGAAATGAACTTTGGCTTTTTTTTTTTAATTATGGGAAACTGCCTAGGCAGCATTTTTTAAACAAAGCTTCAAACTGTAACAAAGAGATTTTTAGTAACCACAGCAGCATTTAAAAAACAAAAACTGATAAAGTGGCCAGGGTGCACCTTTAAGGCATTAATTTCCCAACTGATAAGGAGAAAGTTAACATTTTAAGACAAAAGCTTCTGTCCATGTATTAATTAGTTATCTATCTCAACAACTTCTTATCTGCATGGCTCCTGACAGTTTACGGAGTCCTTTCACTAGTACTATCCCCTTTGATCCTCCTGGGAGAAAAGTACAGTAGCATGACTACAAAACAGGCCTCAAAGCAAGTTCATCACATTTCCTACCTGTTTCAAAGTTTTTAAAACTTTGACATCAAACTTTACAAGCAACTGCAATAGCATGTTCCTTCCAGTGATAATCAATTTACCCAACACCAGCAGTTTCAAAAGACTGTATGTTGTAAAGGCTTTGTAACTGTTCAAGTACTGCGTGCAGTTACTGTCCAATGCTATGTTAATAATGGGCATATCAGCAGTGATCTATACTCACGCATACAACTCTACTTACAGTACAAGAATCTCTTAGAAGGCCAACTTAAGCTCATCAACCATCCGTAGAACTTATCTATGTTAGAATTATGCTCATGGATTCAAAAGGGGAAAAAAAAAAAACACAAAAAGTCTTAACAATATTCCCCTTTCCAAATCCTCAACTACTCTATATCCTATCTGCAGTAAAATTACAGAGAACATCACACAGCTTAAAACTCAAATCATACCAGGACAGCAAGCACACATAAAACATACTTTAAAAATATGTTCAACAACCCCCTCATCAATGCAAGATTAACTCTCCTTTAAAACAGAATAAGTCTAACAGAGATCTGACAGCGCTCAGAATAATTCTAACAGAGGCCCTCAGCCTTAAGCTATCCACAGTAACAAATCTACTTTGTATAATATTGTAAACAGGTAAAAAATTAGCCAAAAGATTTCCATTTCAAATAGCAAATTGATTTAATAATAGAATTTTTAAATGGACTTACTCAAAATCTTTCTGGAACTTTAAGGTGTTAATCCTGTTGCTTAGATGAAGCTAAGGAGAGCTGCAATAAGTGGCAAGACCCTCAAAATTTGAAAATTTTCCTTTCTCTTGCTGTAGCACCTCCTGCTGGATGGCATTTAGAGATCTTCATGTAAGCAGAAGAAGAGTATTTCTGAGGTAGGTCCTTCCAGATGACTGAATAGGAAAAAAGATGGACCCTTCAAAGCCAAAAGAAACAGGGCCCCGTCCATCATTTATACCTCTTAAAAATAAAACTGGGCAAAAGTAGGTGTCTTTTTAATCTAATACTATTCCAGTTCCACAAAGACTTGCCTGAATCCAAAGCACAACATGCTTAAATTATGCTTGCAAAAATTACCTAAAAACTAACTTTCAAAGCCTTCAAAAGCACTCAAGCAAAAGCCTTTATTATGAGCAGCCAAGCAATGCCAGTCGGAACGCAAACAGGACTATGCACCAAAATCAAAAGTCTCATGTGAAGAAGAGCACCTGGCCTATCCGTACCACGTTAGCCAGATGTTTATATTTTGAGTATTTCCTGCACTACCGTGCCCCATATTGAAGGCTAATTGTACATCTACAGAAGTCTTTAAGTACAGGATTTTTTTTAACAAACATGAGGATAACTTCAAGCAAAAAAAAAAAAATTGTCCTCTTTTGCCATCAAAAGATATGTCCTGAGATTTTAAAATGCATCCTAAAGACATTTTAAATGACCCCTACCAAGCCCACAACAGAGATCCCACATACCAGTGAAGACAGAAGAGAAGAAACTTACCCCAATTAAAATAATAGTATTTCCAATAAAAATGTGTTAAGTTTCCTACAATGCTGCAAACCATGTAAATGGTGAAACTTTAAAAGGGGCGGGGAGAGGGCCAGTCTTTAAAAACCAAAAGCTGAACTGACCTATTTACTTCCACTGCCCAAAACGTGAGTGAAGGCCACATGTAAACAAATGACATAAACACTGAAAAGTGTGCTCACATGTCTCAGCCCGGACTGCAGTCCCCTCACCAGGCCCCCAGCGACACTGCGGGTGCCGCCGAGTACCCCCTTGAAGGAGACACGCCAGCTCCCCACCCCAAAGAAAACCTGTAAGGTGCGCCTAGGAGAAGGCTTTCTTCCTAGAGTGCACAAGTGCTTTAAACAAAACAAAACAAAAAACCAGAACCCAAAAAAAAAAAAAAAAAAACTTTCATCAGCCCAAATTAATCTGATTCTAATATCCAGCCATCAATTATTAATCCACAAATGTTCTTCCCTCTCTAACTTCCCCAACTCCAGCACCGATATTCCCGACAAGGACTGTTCAGGAAAATGCACGCCTCGCCCCCCAGCTCTGGGGCCAACCTCCGAATCCCGCAGCAGCACAGCCACAAAGTTCACTGTCAAGGCCAGCGCCGAGGCCCACACACACCCGGACCTGCACTGCACATCCCAAATCCTGGAGACCCGCGCCTCGCCCCCACCCCCACCCCACCCCAGAGCCGTCATCTCCACCACAGCACAGGGTGGACGTGCAGAGAGAGCCTCCACTTCAAGACCCAAACAAAGAATATTTCAACACAGGACCGGAATATGATGACACCGGCTCCGCCAAGGAAAACAAAACCTGCCCACCATCAGCAGCCGTGCCCTCGTCTCCACAACTCAACTACTTGGGAGCCGCTCTCGGCACATCTGCACCCCACAACCGGCGTGCGGCCTCCTCCGGGGGTGCCAGCCGCAGACAAAGTTGAAAGCGAGCAGAGCTGCTCCCTCTCCCCCGCTGCCCAGTCTCGGTCCCGACCCCTCCCCTGCCAGGGCCACCTTGCTGCTACCCACCATCGCGAGCGTGGTCAAGGGGGAGGAAAAAAAAAAAAAAAAAAAGAAATCCTAACAGCGCCGCTCGGCAGAATAAAGAGACCAAAGAGAGAGGATGACGAGAAGTGTTGGGACCTGCGTGCACGCCGGGGCTGGACCAAACGGAAAGAGTCCCACTCCGCGCGCCCCTCCCCCCGGCGGGGGCGCGGGCGGGGGAGGGGCGGCCGCGGCCCCTCTCGGAGCGGCCTGGGCGCCCCCCGGCCCGCGCGGGGTCCCGGGGGCGCCCCGCGGCCGCCGGCGGCGGGGGCGACGCGGGAGGGCCGGCCGCGGGGTGAGGGGTGCAGACACACTCTCCGGAATAACAAGTTGCAGAAGAAGAAGAATAAGCAGAATTTCCCCAACGCGGCTCGGGCCACCAAGACAAATGCACCAACACACACTCACTCTCACACACACACACACACACACACACACACTCACACTCGGCCCGGCAGCGTCAGCAGCCGCAGCTTTTTTTTTTTTTTTAAACCAGATCCCTCAGTCACCAAACAAGATGGTTTTCCCCCCCTCAGAAAAAAAAAATTTTTTTTTAATTAAATAAATGACCATAATAAAAACTTCCCCCCGACAGCATCCCGGGGTGGGGGGGGTGGGGGGGAGGAGCCCCGGCGCCCATCCCCGGGCCCGGGGAGAGCCGGAGGGGGCGGCCGAGGCGCCGAGCCCCCCGCCCCCGCCCGCGGCCCCCCGGCCCGGCCCCCCGCCGGGACAATGTGCCGCCCCCTCCCCTCCACCCGCGGCGCGCCGCCTCTGTCACCCGCTCCGGCCCTGCACTCAGCGCCCAGGCTCGCGAGGCTGCTCATAAACTTACTTCCAATTTATCCTGGGGAGGGGTGGAGGGCAGGGGAGAGGAAGGAGGGGGGGGAGACACGGTTTTCCCATTGTCTTTTTTTCAGGGGGGGAGGCATCGGAAGGGCACGCAGGGGGGCGCCCCGAAGGGGAAGTTACGGCTCAAATCTCAAGTTGACTGAGGGGTCCTGACGAGAACGCCCCCCCTTCCCTCCTCCCTCCCACACACCCCTCCCCTCCCCCTACCTCCCCCCACAACAAACTCCGAGCAGGCAGCCCCTGTTCCTCCCAGAGACAAACACCAGAGACAAGACAGAGGGAGAGAGGCGAGGGGGAAGGGGGAGGGGAGACAGAGCTACTCCAGAAAAAAAGAGAGAGGAGAGTGAGGCGAAGAGAATGGAAAAGCTGGGATACTGCACCCTCCTGCTGCTGGCTGGCTGTCCCCCCTGGCAGCTGGAGGCAGGAACTCTGAGCAGGAGAAGCAGGAGGAGGAGGAGGAGGGAACTCTTCTTCATGGGGAGGGAGGGAAGAAGCTGGAGCTGCTGCTGCTGCTTCTGCTGCTGCTCTGGGCCTCTAGCACTTTTTAGATATTAGTGTGTTAAGATGGTAGGTTGTTCCCTCTCCCTCCTCCTCCTCCTCTCCTCTCTCTCTCTCCTCTCTCTCTCACTCTCTCTCTCTCTCTCTCTGGGCTGTTTCTTTCCTCCTCTTCCCCAGGCAAGGGGGGGTGGGGAGGAGGGGGGTGGGGGGAGGAACTGGATCCTCCTCCTCCTCCAGGAGAGACACACACAGGGCCCAGGCCGGAATAGTGGGTGGGGGAACAAAACAGAAGAGCTAGATACTGAGGGAAACAGACAAGACCAGATCTTCTTCCTACATCCTCTCCCCTCATCTGCTGGGTCGCGCCCCAGTTGAGCTCACCACCCGGCCCCGGGCCGCAGCACCTCCGCCGCCTCAGCCCGGGGATCCCTCCGCCCAGGCCCAGACACACTCGCCCGCGCGGGAGCCCGCCGCGCGGCCCCGCCGGCCCGCCGCCGCCGCCGCCGTGCGCGCCCCCGCCGCTCCCGAGAGCCGGGCGAGAGGGACTGGGGCTGGGGAAGCGGGGACGCGGGGCGGGCGGGGGTGGGGGGGGGGGAGAGGGGCTCGGCGGGGAGGGAGGGGGCCGCCGGGCGGAGTTGTACGGCGGCCGGCCCGGGCCCCCCGCGCCGCCGCCCGCGGCTCGCGGGACGCGCGGGCCCCCCCCCCCGGGGTGGGGGGCGGCGGGGCGGCGGCGGCGGGGGCCCGCGGCGGCGCTCGGGCGGGCGGACTACTTGACGTGTCGGTGCGGCGAATTTATTTCACTTTGCCTAAGGAACGGGGTGTGCTGCGGCCCCCATTGCCTAGGGAAAAAACCCGGATGTAAAGTGAGTGAAACTAAACTAGAGTGAAGTAGGGCAGCGGCAGCCAAACTCCAGTGCAGCGGCGGCGGCCGTGATGGGGCCGAGCTCGGAGCGGCGGCGGCGGCGGCCGCCAAACTCCGGGGCCGCCGCCGCCACCCTGGGCCCGCGCCGCGCTGCAGCTCGGCTCCCGGGCCGCCGAGGCGAGGCCGGAGCCCGCTGCGGACCCCCGCCCCCCAACTCCGCGGCCCGGGCCCAACTCCCCCTCCCGCCGGCGGGCGCCGCAGAGGGGGCTCCGGAGCGGCCCCAACTCCCTCCGGTGCCACCGCACTTGCGGGGGCCGCGGGGGACGCGCCGCAATGGGGGCGCGAGGTCCAGGCAACAGGAGGAAGATGCGCCCGCGAGGCGAAGGCGCCGCGCCGCCCCGGCCGCCGCTCGCCGCTGCCTGCCCTCGCCACCCCGCCCCCTGCCCAAATAACTCCCCCTGCGCCGCGCTCGCGGCCGGGGAGGGCCGGGGCCGGGGGCCCGCTCACCTTTATTTATTGCCGCCTGCTCCCCCCTCTCCATGTTGTTTTATTCCTAAGTTCTTTTGTTCTGAGGGGGATGATGGCATTTACTTTTCTGCTTTGTGTAGCAGGGCAGTCGCTGCGAATCGGCCACGTATAATCCGGCGGGTTGTCATATTTTATTAGTGAAAGTATTTTATGCCTATTCTACCTCCAAGGACTGTAACATGGAGAACTGCAGGAAGGGAAAACACACACACACACACACACACACACCAGAAGAATTCTTGTTTTGAGAGGCTTCTTGGCGGGCGGGGGGCGAGGGCCTGGGGGGGGGGATGTTTATTTAGATTTTCAAATCGATAGTTTTCAACTTAAAGCTTGACGTTTTTGTAGGAGGACATCACTGGGTTCTAACATAACCCCCGATCACGGTAAGGGGGAAAGAAAAGTCAAAATTCTAGATTTAAAAAAAAAAAAAAATCCCTACTGGACAGTGATATTATCTGTTCTGTGCAGCACGCCGGACTTAACAGTGTTGGCCTTCGAATGTTAAATAACAATAAACCCCGACCCCGGCTGAATACAAATGGGGGGTGGGGGTGGTTTTGTTTTTAAGGCTCAGCACTTTTGTAGCCTCTGCCACTACGCATTTTCCAGGCATTGATTAGCCATGCAACTCCCATAGGCATGAAGTCCAGTTTTCGCAGATAAAGAGCAACAGTGGGGAGATGATTTGCCCAAAGTCAAAGTGAGTCATTGGCAGAACCAGAAATAGCTGCGGACTTTTTTATTTTCTTCTAGTCACAGCTTTTCCATTAAATAGTATCTCCCCCAAGAAATAGCGTTTTTAAAAATCAAGAGCCACCCTTTAGCATGTTGTTTTCAGCAGAGGTGCTTTGAGATCATCGGATATGAAGGTATTTTCTTACTTACGTGACCTGCAAAATTAAGTTCAGCTTCCCAAGAAAAAGCCATTAAAAAAAAAAATCCCAATTTCTTCAAAAATGAAGTAGGGACTTTATTTTACATGTGTAGGCCAGTTAGTCCTCTGAGCTTTATGTTTAAAAAAAAAAATCACAACAGAGAAAGTGTGTTAAGAGTTTGAGAGTGAAAATGAAAATCCCTATAAAAGACCCAAGAAGCCTGGGTGAACTCATGAGGGTGTGGAACTACACCCCTCAGGCAGGCTGGGTGAAGAAGGGAGTGTGGTTTGGGTCCGGGAGCCCCAGCTGCACCACCTGGAGAGGACTGAGGTCGGCCAGAGAGGGGAGCCGGTCAGGCTGGGCGGCTCCTCTCGGGCCCCGGGACCCACTGGTGTCATTTCGCATCATCCCAGGCTGATGAAAATTTTCTTCCTCTGAAAAATGTCAACATTGACTCCAGGGAAGATGGCTTCAGAGTTCCTTCTGGAGAGAGGAGTCCATTTGTTTTGTTTTGTTTTCAGAATTTCATCGGGGAAAACAACTCCAGAAGTTCAGACTGTGCCTGAACCTGCGAATGGTAGCGATCAGGTCGGCACACTTTCTGAGGGAGCCGAGTGCGAATGGAGAACGTTGCTTAGACTCAGCCTCCGTCACCACTTCTCCGATCTCTGCTGTTTGGAAGGAAGCCTCCATATCACAACGCGGAGACAGATGAGCCTGGCCGTGTTCTAATAAAAATCTGTATTTGTGGGCCTTCACACAGGGATTTCATGTACTTTTCATGTGTCATTAAATACTGTTCTTTTGATTATTTTTTAACCATTAAAAAATGTTGAAAACATTTTTTGCTGTGGGCCTCAAAAAAAAAAAAAAAAAAAAAAAAGGCCATGGGCAGGAATGGGCCCAGCGGCTGTCATTTACCAGTCCACGCCCGAAAGGAGCCACTGAACTTGTACCAGAGGTTGTGTGGTTATTAAGATGTTTGTAGAACAATTAAAAATCAATATGAGGCAAAGGCAGAGTCCAGATATTTACACTTCAATGAAATGTTTTAACCGACTAATTGTCTAACACTCCTGTAACTACCAAGCCTTATGAGAAAGAATCCTCTAAATAGTGACCCCTGGGTAGGCCAGCTTTCTATTTACATATTCCTCCTCACTCTGGATTCTGATCCCCAGAAGTGTTGCTCCTTTTCAGCTAGGGCACTTTGGGCAAGTTACTCAAGCCCTCGGGTCCCTAAGTTGTAAATGCCCCTATTAATATGCACAGGGTCAGGTTGTTGAGAAGACCCAATGGGGTCATTCACGTGAGGTGCGTAGTACTGTAGTACCGTGCCTGGCTCCTGG